CTTTGAACTAACGAATACCTTATACTGATTCACTGTCACAGAATCAGTCTTGGGCCACATGCAATAAAAACATTGTTTTTTCTCTGCTGTATCTTGTTTTCCAGTTAAGATCCATTGACAGGGCATGATCATCAACCAGTTTTCTATGCAAATATCACATCAGCTTTCCTCCCAAGTCAGGGCCACGCAAATAGGCAACGTAATTTTTTTGTTCATGCTTTACACTGCCGGCGGGGTCAATATTTTGGCAAAAAGCAAAGATCCTCTCGTGAAGGTCCTGGTGCAAGATTTTCATTTTCCTTTCAGTTCTCCAATGCAATTAGTCACCGCACACGGCCAATTAACCGCAGCAGCTCGGCTTCTTCAGCCGCACTCGAGTCTCCTCACAACGTATGTATCAAGACATAATTACGCTGCCGGCTTCGCTGGCTGGGGGGGTTGGTTTTCACATCCAGCTGCCTGTCTGGAGCAAACGAGGTGTGCTTGCTGCCTGGTCAGGAGGAGGGAACGCGGGGAAGCGGTGAATACCAAAGGCCTGAGAAAAACCTTCAGAAAGCAATCACGCTTCATATTACATATTGCTTGAGTGGTCTGTAAAGGCTTGATAATTTAAAATCATTTCTGTAAGTGGTAAAAGTATATTTTAATGAGTATTAGGTCTTGTAGTTAGTTACAAGCGTAGAGCAGCGCGATGTCATGCAGTAGGAAGCCGTTTACTGCTTCTATTGCAATCTCTCCCAAGCGATACCTGTCATTAATAGGCTTCACCGGCGAGCTCGTTATGAAGAAGCATGGCCATAAAACTAACCACAGAGTCAAGTGGAAGCCGCTTTTCCTTTGCATCAGGGTTCCTCCTGCCTCGTACCTTTCCTCCTTTTCTCCACAGGATCCTGCCTTCCCTCTCCATCGCGCTCTTCTAGGAGCAGGAACTGTCGTTTCAAACAACGTCGGACCATGAAGTCCTGAAAATCTTAAATCAAAATTCTCTGCAATTGAGCAGTATTAACTCTTTGCATTTCTTTATAACTAAAAAAGAAGCAGGGCTCATCTGCTGTCAGCAAAAGTCCTAGAATTTCACATCTTAACCAGACACTTAGACTGGTCAGGCACCACAGAAAGCCACAGAAGCTTAGCACTTACTTGCATTTTCTAACATTTTTCCCTAGACAGCTCCCCATTCTTCAGTTCATGGTTCCAGAAGCAGCCGGAGAGCGATCGGGCTACGAGGATGGTGAGGGGACTGGAGCATCTGTCCTACAAAGAAAGGCTGAGGGAGCTGGACTTGTTCAGCCTGGAGAAGAGAAGGCTG